CATACGCAGTATGTGATGTTTGGCTTAAATACGAAATGAATTTGTTATATGACCCCAGCGAGGGATATATCAGATTTATCAGCACCTCGCCCTCGGGCTTGGTGCTGATAAATCTGATATATCCCTCGCTGGGGTGTTATAACATATACATATTTTCCTTTTCTCTGGATTTTTCTGACTGGTTCAGTGTGCCATTATCAAATAAATGCTGCTGGTAGCAGAGTTGTTGAAAATATAAATTCTTATTTCTACTGAGGAAACTAACAAAGCATTAAAATGTTCTTGACTGACATCTAGATGTGATTGTCCCCTACAGGCACTAGCAGAAGTACCTACAGCATCTGTCAGTGCTTCAGAAATTGTTGAGTTTTAGGTTTTTTGGTACACATCCTAAAATATCTTGGATATCAGTAGGTACCGTAATTTGCCTTTTTTTCGTTGTGGAAATATTTTCGTATGGTCCTAAAATGACGAAAATATTTCAATCGATTATTTTTGAGCAACCAAAATTTGTGACCTAATTCATCAAAGAAAGACTAAGGTTCGGCCTGATAAGTAGGTATCTTCTTGCAGCTCTAACCTTGCTCTATCCACTGGTGCTTGCTGTACTTCAATCAGTTGCTTCACTACTGAGTTATAAAATAAAACGGTCCACCATGTGACAAAAGTAGCGATTTAATGTTTCCGTTTATTATCTGTAAACTGGTCATTGTTGCATCTCTAGTACTATCCATAATACTAATAATCTCGGGGAACAGCCAGGTCAAGAATCTTTTATCTCAAAGAATTATAAACACTACTATAGCAGCCTTGTTACCAGCAGGTAAAGGACAAGGTATATGCAAGAGAAGCTAAATTTTCAGACTGTAAAAATTTTTGTACAATATGAGAAGACGAAAATATTTCCACTTGAATTTTTCTGAAACGAAAAATTTTTATACGAAAAAAAGGCAAATTACGATTGCACTTGTTATGTAGGTGTGAAACTATTATCATCGCTGACCAAAGTTGCAATTTCAGATTGTCAAACTTGTCTCCATGCTTAGCTCTCATATCCAAAAATACTGTTTTAGTGTCTTCCTTCTCTTGACAAGAACCCTTATTTCTTTTTCTTCTATTTCCGTTTACCACTACACCTTGAAACAAATGCACCCTTCATAAGGATGCTTCATGTGGAGATTCTTTAAGTCTTGATTTGGCACCAAAATGACTTTCACATGGTGAACTCCTCTTACCTCATTGGTAAAAGAATAGTACCGTAGATCGGGAAATTTTCGTTGTTAAAATATTTTCGCGGATGAAGTGACCCGCGAAAATTTGACACAAAATATTTTCTACAGTGAATAATAAGATTACCGGAATTATTCTAACGTGCAGCGGTGCACCCGCGATGCTCTTCTAGTCTTCTAAAAGCCCTAAAAAGGCCTGAAGCTCTCACCCAAGAGGCTCCTTGTCAGTTTTAGTACTGTCACGAGCAACTTCCATTGAATAGCTGTCCATCATCATCAAGAGTTAGTAGCCACTTGTGCGGTTTATGACGCGTCCAAAAATTTTCATGTTGAAAAAATTTCGCGGATAGGTCAACCAGCGAAAATAAAATAACTTGAAAAAATTTCACGCCAATTATTTCTAACATGAAAATTTCCCGATCTACGGTAATAATTATATAGGCGGTAGCCTATATGTAGGGGTGAGGTTGATTTTTCAAGATGGCGGCTAAATTTGCAATTTTCGAACGCTTATAACTCTTCTAACTTACTTTGTACAGCTTTATAAATGGCTTAGATGAGTTCTCCTTCACTGAGCGATTCTCCTGGTACCTTTATGGTGGACTGTAATGTAGCGGAAGGATTTCTGTATAATAGGCCCAAATTCAAATTTCTGCAAAATTCTTCAGACTTTTTCTTCTTTCATCTTT